TTATAACATTGTTAAAATTGATAGGAGTTACTGACATATCACAAAACTATGTGGAATGCTAAGGGTTAAAAGCTTAATATTCAATTCTACACTGCGATCCGAAAAGTCCCAAGTGTTTAAATGCTGTGCCCGCGTAACCATACATGCAGGACCATCAGATTACCCCCACCTTCGGTGGGGAAGGGGAGCAGATGTGCGCGTGGCGCAGGAAGTTTAGTTTCATGCGAGGAGCAGCTGACCGACGCGGGCATTCCTTTCCGAGTAGAATCGAGGATGGTCTCGGTGGTTGGCTCCGAAAAGGGGGATGATGATTGCTCAGCCCCGAGCCGTGCTCGGTTCAGCCTAGATACACCCACATGTTAGGTCGGAGGCACGGAAACGATGGAGAAGAGGGGGCCCCATAGGGCCCCTTTCAAGAACATCCCATTAAAGTGCTGAGGGCACATTCATTTCCTCCCTTCCACGCTTTCATTTCACGTTACACCGGATATTTATCGAGCGCGGAACGTATAATGTTTTATTTCCTGGCGAGAATGGAGCTTTATGTTCCCGATATTACAGGTTCTCGCCGCGGTTTCTTCTGGCGTCGTTCGTCGCGTTTATTCGTTCCCTCGGCCGACGATCGTCGATTTTCCACGTCGTACCCATCTGTCGCGGGCCGCGACACTCTCGTTCGCCGATTATTCCCGGGGCAATGAATTTCGCGGCGAGAACGACCGGCTCGCTTACATAATCGTTCAATTAAACTTTATACGACTGCTTTCCGTGAATTGCGGTGCGCCTCGCCGACCGGCGGCCCGATTTCACCGGTTTCTTTCGATCCCGGCGCTAGTTTCACTTCAAGGGTATAGACGTTGCCACTGAGGAAACGCGGAGTCGGGTGTACAGGGTGGAAAGAAACGTTTGGAGTTGCTTGTCGCAGGTGAATTCTATTCCTTCGATCCGATAGAGACCATAAGCTACTGCGAAATTCACTTTAACCTTGGAAAAAGGGTTGCAATTTGTTATTTCTGGTACTCCACCATGAACGTAAATAGTTCCAATTAATTCATTTCCCCGTGAATTGCCGTCGAAATTCGCGTGGGAGAGTAAAATGCTTTCTCACACTTAACAATGTAGATCACGTTTCTTCAGGGAGTCCTACGACTGCCCCGACTAATCGACATTCGTGTGTCACACAAGGACACTGACTCTTTCCACATTGTACAAGATAGTTTCCATTATCTCCCCGGTTGTTTGTACCACGTGGTGTTCGGTAGAGTTCCCCGCGAGGTCCCCTAAGCAGCGAAGAGTTGACTAATGAAGAGCCGACGTGTTTAAAGGGGTGGTTTTTCTAAGGACGCTCGAAACGGCCCATCGGGGACTCGGAACGCGAAACAGGAGTTCGAGCATGAGAACGAGGTGCCGGAGAAGGTGGCAGCGGCGGCGGAGGAGTAGGAGGAGGCAGAAAAGCTGACGGTCAGATTGTGAGCAAGGGAGGAGGGTTGCAGCTGCTGTGACAGCTGCAGACTTCCCAATATTACGTCCCGGCCGCGCCTATCCTCCGAATGCTGGTCCCTGCCGTCGCCTTTCCAGGTGCTCCTCGCACCGGCGCCCCGAAAAATCCTCCTTTGTTCCCTCGCAGAGCATCTCGCCGCGTCAGCGATCGATCCGGCCTGAATTTCATCGATTCCCCTTCGTGGATCGCGTTCGTTTCCCTCTCGCGGGCAGCCCGCAGCTCCGAACGAACGCTGAATACAGATCGAAAGCCGCGTACTCGGCGGGAAACGGTTCACCAACTGTTTTCTAATGCCTCGACGAGCTGGACGTGACCCGTCTATGACGGTGCCCGTGCTGTTTCGAGAAGCCCGTCGTTTGTTCGCCACGTGCGCGGCAGAAAATCGCGGGACGTGTCTGGAATTGCACGTCGATCGCCAACGGTCGACGGTCACTCGTGATTCGATAGAATTTTTCGTTTCGTGCCGTGGAATATTACGTTACTGCATTATCGGTGGTTAAAAGTCTCCATTGCGTGTTTGCGAACCGTGGTAAGAGGAGTATGCGAAGTATGGCACAGTGGAATTCAGAAATTTCACTCGCATAGTGCGGAAATCCCACGAAAGTCGGCGTGTTTATTCTAAACAGGACCGTGACGGAGCTGATGCTAATAAGAACCGGTGTCGGAGTCGATTTTCATGAAATATGAAAAGCAATTCGTAAATCGTTCGCAGTCCACGAGCAAAAACAACGGGGGACACTGAACGACCGACGGAAACCGGTATCCGGGGCCTATGAAAAAACCGTCGGGCCCGGTTGATTTCATTCCGATCACACTCGGATCCTATTCTGGTCCGCGGCGCGCAGCCTTGCGGCGAAAAAAAGCGAGCCGGTGCGGCACAATTATTGCGTAACCGTCAACTTATTCAGGTCGGTCGCTCGACCTTTCCCCAGTGTGCTACCTGTGCCGGATGCAAAACTGGACTGAACGTCGGGTGAACGCGTGCCCGTGTTACGCGGAGAACGTGGCCGCTCGAGAAAACGCGACAAACAGCAGCCGGATATCCTGGAGGAAGTCGCCGAATCGTCTTCGATCGGTATTGCCCGGGGAAACAATGAAATCATGGCGAACAGCGAGGTTGTACCGCTGGTAGCTAGCGATTTAGCCGCTGTAGGCGGTGTCAGGGGTGCGACACATCGAATTACTGTTCGTCTGATTATTTTCCGACCCTCCGTCGAGGTCATGGTGTTCCCATTCGAAGCGGGTAATTCGAACAGGGGAGCTTTGATGAGAGGGTCGAGTTCTTGCGGTTCTGTTCCCCATTAGCGGGGGTGCGCGACGTGCCGGCGCATACGGCACCGATAAACCGTGACTAAGGGACACGTTTGGAAATCGGAGAAACTGGTTATTAAGGAGATCGTATCCCTTGACACGAGAAACGTTACGCACCAATTACATTAGCGTGCGATACACTGTTGTGGAAGTGGGCTGAATCTGCTGCCGGGGAACGAGGCTCGAGCGCAGATGCAATTGTTTGCCCTCTTTCACGGCGTGCTGGCGCAATACTGTTACCAGCGAAGATGGCGGACCGCCATGCATCGATTTCGATGAAATTCGCTTGGAATATTAGTTCCTTCTGATATGCAGAGATCCTTTGTCGGTTAAAGCAACGCACTTCGCTGTGAGCAGCACGGTTGACCGTCTAAATCGCTGTCCGTCGATGTCCTCGAACAGCCGAACATATGAAACGATCGTTTCTCATTGAAAACTCGGTTCCCTTAGTGTAGCACAATGCTCGAGGTGGCATCTCCGGGGACGTTTCCAAATTCAAAAGCAAAATCCGTGACAAGGCACAGTTCGAAAGGGGAAGATCACGGAGAGCTCGGGCAGAAGGGAAGAGATTTGGATCTAGAGGGCGAAGAGGGGAGAGACACACCTGCCGAGCGAATAAAAAGGGTCGGGAAGGTACGCGATCATGAATATCAACTCTGTGAAATTACAGTACGTCTCCGGGGAAATTAATGCGACAACCTGACGGGCGCACCTGTTGCGGTGTTTAAACAAACAAAAAAGAGTCCGGGCGTGCGTTCGCGAACACGAAATCGTTGCACCTTTGTCCGGAGGCTTATCCTTGCAACGAGTTCTAGGTACTTGAGCGAATAATCTGACCGGGGAAACTGTTGAACAGCGAGCAAAGTGTTCGGGACAATGCATACCGTTTACGGATCGTATAAAACAATCCGATTTATGGTTCTAAATCGCCGGTCATTGCGGCGGGTACAGAGTATCCCTGACATAACACATAATAACACCAATCATCCCGACAACCGTTACGGTCGTTCGGCGAATTTCATTGTTGCCCCGAGTGCGCCACAATTTCGCCCTGTTACGGGGGCTGGGCGCGGAATATTCGCAAGAACATATGTCAACCTAATTAACGTCGGCGATTCGATGGTTACGCGGCCTGAATTCGACGAAACCTGCCCCCGACCAGGCCGATGAAATTTAGAACAGACACACCCCGCCCCGAGAGGGGACAATGGCTGGTTTATCCGAAGGGGTGGAAGAGCCTCGGCCATTCGAATGGAACAGACGAAACGGGAACAGATGGTGTGAATTCCGGACCATGCGGGCTCGACGAATGAAACATTCAAATGGCCCCGCGAAGAGGCTTCACCTTCGACTCCATGAATAACACGGTCTCAAAGGGTGAAGTCACTGTTCGGAACTGCGGCCATCCTGCGGTCTCTTAGCGCCGCAGAGACTGACTAACAGTTGAGGAATGTGTAATGATCACATTAGCGATAAAGAATGAATTATCAGAGAAACTCATCCGTACGTCCTGGATAATTTTGCTTGGGTAGCCTGGACTTATTGTTGACCGGTTCGCATCGGGGTCTGCTTCTTCGAGTGGTTACGATACAATGCCTAATGAGAGGCTGTTTCGCCAGCGCGTCAAGAGTATCTTGGAATCTGCCAAGAATTCTGCTTCTCACAATGAACTTGAAGGTCGCGGCGCATAACTGCACGCCGCTGTGACGTCGCAGTTACAACTGGTAGTACGATTACGTCTCCCCTTTCGTGTCGCCTATTTTACATAGGATCAGCTCGTTACATTCGAAAATCGTCGGACAGCGTGGACAACTTTTGAGACGTCTCGTTTCCCGAGCGTCTTCTCGTGACATCTCTCACAGAGATCGAAGGCGGAGACTTCGCGGATGTTCCTTGTTAGAACGCCGATACCGGTTCGGCGTAGCCTGGCCAGAAGGCTCGATCGGCCAGGTTTTCTGGGTGGGGGGAAGGTCGAAGAAGGCCGCAGCTGGCTAGATCCTGTCCGCGTACGTACAGCTGAACACCGCTGAATGTAAGGAACATGCCTCGCCGGTCGGGCCTGTACAATGTCGTTTTGCTCCCCACCACGAGCCTGCAGTTGGCAACACGAGCGTGTCTTTGCCGATCACGCGTACCCGTCGACCGGTCAAATTCTTTGTCTCGGAAAGGGTGCCAGTAAAAGTATACCTACCGCCTTTGATACGCCACCGCTTCCGCTACCTGCGTCGATCAGTCCTCTGATTGTCCTGATTAGCAACTAGGTACCCTGCCCTCGTGACCCTAGGTAATCGTCAAATTTCGTACACTGAGTCAATCATTCTATCAGCTCAATAATATTTAGAAACAATTAGATTTACCAATAATCAATCTATTATCTAGTGTCCTTTCTCAAGAGCCTTGATCACTCCATTTCCTTTGACGCAATCATTCCACGAGCTCAATAATATTTAGAAACAGTTACTAGATTTACCAATAATCCATCGTATCTAGCGTCCATTCTCAAGAACCTTGAAGCATTTCCTTTCAGTTAATCTTTTCATGAGCTCAATAATATTTACGATATTAGATTCACCAATAATCAATCCATCCAGTGTCCATCCTCGAGAACCTTAACCGCTTCGAACTTCACTCTGAAAAAGGACAATCGAAACTCCGTAATTTCTCAAACTAAAAAATAGTTTATCAATCATATTTAACTCCTCGAAAGTCGATACGTACGCTTTCCTGCTCGCCGTCCAGCGAACAACAATTCTCCGCGTCGATCCAATTGTTTTGTGGAACCTTAAACGATTTCTAAACCGCGAGCCGTGAAGTCAAGAGAGTCGCCCGTACTTGTGCCACATATCCGGTAATCTCTTTCACACGTTCCTTCATTCACTGTCTGCCCAAGTCTCGGTCCTCGTCCATCCTCGGTCCACCGTGGTCTCGCTCTCTTCCCTTCCTTCGTTCATCGCAGGAAGAGAGCCGCAGAAGCAACAAGACCGCGAACCCTCCGGCATCATCGTCGTCCACACTTAGACCCGATATCCTCGTCCCGTTCCTCAGCACCGATTCCTGATTCGTTCCGTCTCCGTCCCTCTCGTTCCACGTGTAACCCACCCCGTTGGCCATTTTCCTGCACTCGGTCCTCGTCGCGCGCACAGGTCGTAGCCTGTCGCCTTCCATCGAGCGCGACCAATCAGCGCGCTTGGTCCAGCGGGCACGAAGCGACCGTTCCGCCGCGAGAACCGACCGACCGGACTACGGGAACAGTCTGTCAGTAAACTCGGTGCCGTGCGTTTGGCTGGCGCGCGTCCGACCCGACGACCGTTTCCATGCGCGTGTTCCACGACACGGATATACACGCCAGCCGATCCCACGGGCTGCTCAACTGATATTCGCACGGCGGGCGAGTCGCAACCCGCGCCCAGTGAGCTCTCAGTATTCGCGAACGAATATACACTCTCCGTGGTTAAATCAGGATAGAAAACAAATGCTGACTTAATTGAATAACACCGGTCTCGTTGAACGCGATCGCGAGTGTCCGCAATTGAAACTGTTTTTCCCTCCCGTTGTTTGATCCCCGTTGTACGCGCGCACGCTTGTTTGCTCGGTGAACATTTTTACGAAGACAAGATGGTGCGTGGTCTGTCGCAGTGGACGAAAACCTTGAGCTTCCCCGCGAGGGTGTCCCCCCAGAGGCCTACCAAGGAGTCGAAGGGGTTTCATGTGAGCCCTAGCGCTAGCCCTACGTCGCCACCCAGCCCGATCAACGACAACATGGACAAGGCGCCGATTATTACCGATGAGGTTAGAAATCTTTCTTTTTTATTTTTATTCTCTTTGCGCGTTTGTTTAAACGTAGCGTTGTATTGTTATTTGTTTGTTTGTTTATTTGATTGATTGCGGGGGAAGTTTGAGACGGTTTGATTGACGGTGATACGTGACGCGCGTCGTCTAGGTACTTCGAGGTTCGTGGCGTGTTTAGAAAAGGGATTCGAGTACCTACGTCTTCGTCGCTATGCAAACGATCCGGGTTTGGCATTTCAATGTGCACGCGGAGCATTCCACGAATACACTGGATCGGAGTCTCGAGTTTATCGTGCGTGTTTCAGATAACGGTCTGTTGCTATACGCTTGAACCAGCTACGGTTAATCGCCGGCTGTGCGTTTCGGTTCCACGCGTCTGTGTGTACGTTTCTGTACGCATCCCCCCTCCCCCTGCGCCACTGTGTTTACTTTCACATTACCGATTGTTGTGTCTCGATGGGGGAAAAAAACAAAGCACTGACCCGCGATTCACCTGGATTAATTGATAGATCGAACTGAATGGAAACCGTAAATTTACGTTTCCGATTTCACGGTAAAAAGCGACTGAGTCACCTCTCAAACGTTTCAGGAAAATCTCGAATAATTTCCTACGAGAAATGTCAGTGATGCAAATCGTGAATGGGTTGTTTCAATGACGCGCGGCCACTTGTCACGTTTACCATTTAAACTACCGTTGAAAAATCCGACTCGAAAAGAGTATCGATCGTTCGACCGGATCGTAGCCGCAGATTCCGTCCGTTGTACATACGTTCAACTTCATGACTTCCCCCGGCGGAGCGTTGTAACATAATCTTCATGCGAATAAAGGGAAACCGCAGAATGGGGGAAATCTATTATTGGACAAAACGGAAACGGGGGGTTACGTTTCGATATCGTTTACAACAGGACCATTCACGAGTCTATCGCGAGCGTAGAGCGTTGTTGGCACGGATCACACACTCGAGGAGACCGCCCTTGTCGAGTTCCATTCCATATTGCCTCTTATCGAGGTAAATAACGCGGTGCGCGCACCGCGAGGCTATCGAACCGTGAGCACTCTTCTGACTGACAGCACAAAACATTCTATAAATCTTTGAACGCCGAGAGGGGAGGGTCCGTGGTGTACGCTCCTCTTCGGTGGCATTCGTATACAATGTGTCCTAACGGCTAAACGGTTTCTTTGTCCGCGCACCACGGCGCGCTTCTTTTGTACCATTGCGCCACATACGTACACTTTCTAAGAATTCTTTCCCCGACGCTGTTACCGAGTTCCGTCTCGTCGAAAGCTCGCAAAAATTTTACTCCCCGTCCCGTTGCGTAATAACGTACCGGCGTCTTTCCATGTATCTCTCGTCCAGAGAAAAAAGAACGCCATAGAAAAAGTCACGTTACCATGGTTACCAGACGAGATGGGTCCAGATGTTCCGACCAGACCACGGATAAATTCAGGCCATTCAGGCTCCCTTGTTTCTCGAGGAAGCTGCTTCTAATCGCGACCGTCTAACAAGTTTCAGTTGTTCTGTTATTGATAATCACGCTTCGGTAATTATTGTGGACCACGGATTAACACGTCCCGTAGGGGAAACATTTATGGTACCAGTTCTTGTAAGGGAATATTTTTTGAGACATGTGTCGAAGAATAGAGAAACAAGAGAAACGTAAAGAAATATGGAAATGTCTGAAAAGTCAGCGAAAGCTTGAATGTAAGTCAATCTCTCAATTAATAGATCAGTGCACTTCGACGTCGACAGCTTGGCGGAATGGAATGTTCATATTTGGAATTCCAAGTTGCAAACGAATGATTCAATTACTCGAATGTTTAAAGGTTAGAAAATAATGGTATAACAATCCCGCTTAACTCTACACTTACGAAGATTCTTCGAAATGTACAAAACCTTCCAGAGATGAAGATAAATTATATATCAATTGCTTAATTAATAGAGAAAAGGGAAACTACGTGCTAACCTCTTGCTTCGAGTAATTAAATCGTTCGTCTACGACTTTTTCCAAGCATTGTATATCGACGTTTACAAATTTTATTTAAAATTCAGAATAACGTACCCACGACGAGTTGGAGTACTTTCTCCGTTAACGACGTTGACAGACGCTGCCCCTAGGTCGCGTGTTCCCGTGTGTCGAAATAAATCGAATTTATTCATAGGCTAATAGAAGGGTGCCACTCAACGATATCATCGTGGTTCCCCCTGCCTTATCGACCGTGCGTTTAGGGAATCGAGTTGATCTGTTTTTGCGGTCGGCTTAATCGTCGCGGGCCCCCTCGACGTCGCCGCGTCACGCCAACACACGTGCGCTGCGTTAACGACTCCCTTTATGCGAACGCCCTTAAAAGCGAGGGGATCGGAGAAGACAGAGGCCGGTGGTCGGCTGCGACAGCTTCTGCGGTGTTTGCTGGCGAACCCGGGGGGAGGATTCGTTTGTGTAAACACAGTGCCTCCGGGAAGATGACAATGGCGGCACGTGGCCCGATATGAAAGCGGCATCTCCCTGTTGCGACAATTCGCTTTACCGAAGGTATTTCACCGTGTCGAATGACTGCTTTCCAAAACAATAATTAAAGTCTGTTAGAAATGGTCGCAGTGGAGTTACTCATCGTGTATATAATCATTGGTCATAGTTGACCCTTTGCGCTGGGAAATTGTTTCGCTAGATATATTCCTGGTTTCCTAATGAAGTATCAATGATGTCATAATTAATATTAAAATAAATAATATAGAAATTAAAAGAGAACTATTGTTTCACGGAACAATGTTAAATGAACTTTATCGAAACTTTGAAATTTTACTGTATCAATTGTGAGTCGCCCCCCGAGTGCAAAGGGTCAAGAGGGAGCTGTCGGTAGACAGAAAGGTTCCCCTCCAATAGAAAAACGCCCTCCTTTTACTGAGAGCGTGCAGATATTTCTATACTTATACACGTGTATGGACCAGTTTGCGGTATTAGGAACGGTTGATGAACAAACCGGAGAAAGCTACGTCGCCTCGGCTTACCGATCGCGCTACAGGAGTGTACGTCAGAGATATCCGAAGATCGATATAAAATGCGCGATTTATTTAAATTCTTTGCGCACAGGTAGCGCGTTAAAGCGGTTACCGGCGGAGGGATGGTAGTGGGCGAAGAAGGGGCGTGACGGGCGGGGGGAGGTAACCGCGAGACACTTGTTCTCGTTAGCGTGTCGCGCGGGCAGAAACGGGGCCCGAAAGAGACGACCACTTTGGCCCGGACCCGATTTCCAACGGACGCGATCGCTCGTAACTTTTACTTAACGCGTCGAGGGCTCCGGCGCACGGTGAAATTGCCGGGGCGCAGAATCCCGCGATAATGGAGCAAAGTTTAACCCTCTCGTAACAGAAAACGGCGGATTCTCGCGGTTTAAAGGCGTTCGCCGGGTATATAAAATAAACCGTCGGCGGCTGGACGGGGCCCGGCGGCACGGGGGATGGGGGAGCGCGGCGGGGGCAAGAAAAGGACGCGACGAGGACTGGTCCAAAGGCGGGGAAAGGCGACGGCGGAAGCGTGGGAACCGAGCGTAACAGATGGCCTCGGCTGCTTCCGAACACGCTCGGCCTCCTTCGTGCACCTCCGTGGCGTCGGCTCTCCGCTTTCCGTTCTCGCGGACCATGTGTCGATGCAACTCGATTCCTCGCGAAAATTAGATTCGTTGATCCCTCGGTGGTCTAACCTCGATTAACGATACTCTTTCGCCGACCTACCGACGCCATGTTCCTCCATATACATCGGCAAATGGAACCGCACGGCGGAGACTGACGCGTGGAATCGGCGGAGTCATGCTTATTCGTGTTAACGATAATCGCTGGGAATTCAATTGAATTTTCTCTTTTAACGAGAAAAATCGCTGGTAGGATAAGGGGACACTACCGTTGCACGCGCGGAGGACAAGAGCTAAATGACACGGGGAATAGGGTTACATAATTGACTTACGGAACGGTACCGTTCGATTGAGACCGGAGAATAGGTTAAGAGGGTAACGACGCTAAACAAAAAGTGCAATAGGAGTTGCATGCGTGTTTGCGTTGGAAGCCTCGATCCGGTGCTTATCTTCCATCTGATTGAAACTTATTTTACATGAACGTTTGTGGGACTTGTGTACATCCACTTCGTTGTTAGTTTATAAACAATGTTTAGACATAGATATCCTTGGTATTTTGTAATCGAGATGAAGCGATATAGGAGAGTTTAGTTGAATTTTTCATTGAAACAATCAAGTTCTGATTTGTTATATTAAAATGATAGCTGCTTCGTTGAAATATTTTCAACGCGTGCCTCGACGCGCACAGACGAGCTTCACCGTGCAAGCTCAGCGCTTCAATCAGCCATGCACCGATAGGGTCTCAAGAAGCATCCCAGGCACACTTCAGCATGATTCATTTGAACGGTCGGCGTGGTTGGCGACAGCTTTTGGAACACGTTCGCCGACATCGATCGCCCTGCTACGTTGAAAGAGAGGCACGAAGCGAATTTAATTGCCATGCGCTAATGGATTCGTTGTTATGCTAGGCCTCAGCATTCCAATCGAAATATTTTTCCAATTTGACCGAGGCCGTTGACATTCCATCGAGCTTAATCACGCGATCGCTAATGTTCCGTGGAATCGCGGGATGACGGCGGTGCAGGAAATCGTCGCAGGAAGTGTCGCCGGTACATAATCTCGGGGAAATAGCACGCATACTCGCCGAGGACCGTTGTGTCACATCAGTTTCAGTTATCTGCTCTCTGCGGAAGTGGTTCTCAACCGAGCGCGGACGGCCCGTCCGATTTCGCGTGGAATATTCGAAAAGAAACGTTACCCGGCGAACTTTTATCCCGTCGTTTATATTATTTATCGCGTGCGTCACGCGAACGGCGCTGTACCACGTGCGCCGGCGATTTTCCGTGAAAGTGGGCCACGCTCAAAATGAAAATCGAATCGCGAACCGCCGACCGGATTCCTCCCTGTTTAGTCGCCGGCCAGATCGCGGCGT